CGGATTCCCCACGGTGTAGCACTGTACGAACTGCATGAATCTGTACGGGTTGGGAGGGTGGCCGTCCATCCACCAATTCGTCCGGCAATTGTTGTACAGGTGTGGTGTCATTGGTCCCCCGAAATGGCCGAAGGACGGAGACATGAAAAACCGGATGAATACGAGCACTGTCCGGTAGTTTGAGACGATAAGCCACACGGCCTACACGTTCCACCACTTCGTAAGGCCCATAAAACCGAAGTTCCAATTTTTGAGACGTACAACGAACTAAGGAGTGTTGTCTGTACGGTTGTAGGCGCAATAGAACTTGATCACCGACTTGGAATTCCACATCTCGCCGTTTGGAGTCTGCCATTGCCTTCATCCTTGCTTGGGCAGCCCCCAGGTTTGCCCGTAACTGCCGTAGCAGCTCATCACGTTCAACCAACATGGCGTCCACCTCCTGTACCTTGCTGTTGCCCTTACGGTACGGGACCAGATCCGGTGGTGGTCGCCCATATACTGCTTGGAATGGTGTCATGTGAAGGCCCGAATGGAAGCTAGTGTTAAGAGAGTACTCCGCCCATGGCAACAAAACTGTCCAGCGGTTGGGTCGGGCATGAGTGAATGCCCGTAAGTATTGCTCCAGAGTGCGATTGATGACCTCCGTTTGGCCATCAGTTTGAGGGTGAAAAGCTGTGCTATGCTTCAATGTCGTCCCACTTAGGGTATGCAGCTCCCGCCAGAAAGTACTGAGGAAGATGCGGTCTCGATCGGAGATTATAGTACGTGGGAAACCATGGAGTTTGAGAACCATGTCTGTGAACAAGAATGCAGTGCGGTGTGCGTCGAAATCCCCCGGCAAAGGTCCGAAGTGGGCGTATTTAGTGAGACGATCAACAACAACAAAAATCACCGAAAAGCCACGGGACACCGGAAGACCTGTAATAAAGTCCATACTTATATCCTCCCAAACACGCTCCGGAATAGGTAGCGGCTCCAATAAGCCCGCCGGTGGTTGGGTTGAAAATTTTGTCTGTTGGCAGACCGAACATGCTGCGATGTACTCCCTGACCTGTGCCCGCATACGAGGCCAATAAAAAGACGTGGCCAGCCGCTGGAACGTGCGGTGCACCCCTGTATGACCAGCGATACGGGAGTCATGATATTCCTTGAGAAGCTCTAGTCGCAATGGAGAAGATTCGCCAATACATAGGCGGTGGTTGTACCGCAATAACCCGTCGAACACCGAAAAGGGCGGAGGTAGAAGCCCCTGCCGAAATTGGGTGTGCATGCGGACCAAGTCGGGTTTTGTTTGGTTTTCCTTCTTAATTTGCTGCAGAATATTGGGCAGTGGGTGGGAAATGGCCAAAAATTCCCCAGGTTTCTCCTCCTCATGCCGTCTAGAAAGGGCATCTGCAACCGAATTCGTTTTCCCCGGTTTATACTCAATCCGGAATCGGAACCCCAACAACTTACGGACGTAAAACTGCTGGTCTGGTGTTTGTATAACTTGCTGCAATAACTCCTTCAAACTCTTTTGATCCGTACGAATTAAGAACTCCCGGCCGAGGAGATACTACCGCCACTTCTGAACAGCCTCGACGATTGCGTAGAGTTCCTTATGATAAGTCGAGGCGGCCAAACGTCTCGGCCCAAGTTTCTTACTAAAATAAGCCACGGGATGCTCCTTCTGTAACAGCACGGCTCCGATTCCAGTCGCCGAGGCGTCCGTGTCCACCACAAAGAGAAGTGTGAAGTCGGGTAACCGGAGAACAGGGGCCGAAGTAAGGGCCTGCTTGAGGTTTCCAAAAGCTGTGGTGGCCGCCGGAGTCCAGGAGAAACTGTCTTTCTTTAGGAGGTCCGTCAATGGTGCTGCGATATGGGCATAATGATGTATGAAACGCCGATAATAGCCGGTGAGACCCAAAAATCCCCGGAGTTGCCGAATGGTTTGTGGCAAAGGCCATTCGACCATGGCTTTTATTTTTGTCTCGTCCGCTTGAAGGTGCCCATTGGTAATGATGTGTCCCAGATATTTAATAGCCGTTGTGCAAAAAGTGCACTTGGACAATTTCACAAAAAAGATGTGCGAAGAGAGCAAGCCGAGAACAACCTCCAAATGCCGTGTATGATCAACCAAGGAGGGGCTGTAAACAAGGATATCATCGAAGAAAACGATTACAAACCGGCGTAGGTAGGCGGCGAATAATCGGTTCATGCATGCCTGGAATGTAGACGGAGCATTGGTTAGGCCGAATGGCATAACCCGGAATTCATAGTGGCCCTCGTGTGTGCGAAACACCTTCTTATAGATATCCCGGTTGTGCATACGGATTTGATGGTAGCCGGAGCGTAAATCCAATTTTGTAAAATATTGAGCAGACCCCAACTCATCAAAAAGTTCGTCGGCCGTAGGGATAGGGAAGTGATCAGGAACTGTGACCGTGTTGAGGGCCCGGTAATCAACACAAAACCGATACGACCCGTCCTTTTTCTTCACCAAGAGAACTGGAGAGGAGAACGGACTACGGCTCGGTTGAATTAAACCTTGGTCCAACATCTCCCGTACAAGGTGTTCGATCTCATTTTTCTGGAACTGAGGATAGCGATACGGACGAACATTAACCGGATTGGTACCCGGCTGTAGAAAAATCCGATGGTCCCCAGGGCGACGCGGCGGTAGACCAGAAGGCTGGGCAAAAACAGAAGCATAGTGTTGCAATATCCCACGAACAGCTTCTGGCAGATCCTTCGGCTAGGCTATCTCTTCATGAGAGTTACTGTCCATGCATGGGGATACCAAGATCTCAAAAAATTCTGCAAAAACACTAGCAGCATGTAGGGTGTGCAGATGATGTAAGGACAATGGCCGAGGAGACAGACCGTCCCCTTTTAACACGATCGACGACTCCTGCCAGGTGAACTCCATCGTTAGGTTGGCATAGTCGTGAGTCACTTTCCCGAGCAATTGTAACCATTGGACGCCGAGGACCACGTCCGGCCCGTGAATGGGCAGAACAAAAACATCCACCGAGAAACTCGTCCCTTGTAAGAGGAGCGAGACGTTGCAACACTGACGGCTACAGACCAACGAAGCACCATTGCCGACATACACCCGAAAAACTGGAATATCCACCACTGGAAGTTGTAACTTTTCGACTACAGAGGGGTGTATAAAATTGTGTGTACTGCCCCCGTCAATTAGTACACTGACCACAACCCCGGAAATCATACCTGAAAGCCGTAAGGAGCGAGGTGCGGTAACCCCCGACATGCTATGCAGCATAGACACATCGGCGGCCAATATCGTGTCATCCACTGGGGTGTCCGGACTGTCATCATCATCCTCCGACAGCAGCAAAAAACGACCGCAGCGATGGCCCTTCACCCACTTCTCGTCGCAATTGTAACATAATCCTTTTGCATCACGATCCTTTTTCTCGGCAAAGGATAAACGACGAATAGGGGGGGTCGGTGGAGCCTTGACAGTGGCCTGCTGTTTCTGCCCAGGGAGAGGCAGTAAGGATACGGGGGAGGGAGCCTGATAGGGTTTACTGGTCGGATGGTCGCGCCCCTGGACCACACGGGAGGGTACAGACAACGCCCATGCGGCGTGTTTTGCCTCCAACTCACGAGCTAAGGCAAATGACTCCGAAAGAGAGGCGGGCTTGAGCAGCAACAATTCATGTTGTAGATGGGGTTTCAATCCGGCATGAAAGAGAGATTGGAGGTTAGCTTCGGCCACCCCCGTGACATGGACGAGGACCTTTTCGAACTCCTGCTGGTACTCCAAAACCGTGCCTGCCTGGTGGACTTTTGATAAGACCCCAAAGTAATCAATATAATTTAATGGGTCGAAGCGCAGCTTGAACTGAGTAACGAATTCAGACCAGGATTTGAGAAGCCGATCCCGTTGCCGCCAACGAAACCAATCTAACGCCGGCCCCTCCAACATAAGTGATACTGCCGGGAGACGAGCATCTTCTGCGATGCCGTAAAAAACAAAATACTCATGGACCTTGAATAACCAACCCAAGGGATCACTGCCATCGGACTTGGGCATGTCTAATTTGAGCTTGGCCATGGTAGGCTCACCGCGATGAGAGATTGGTTCGCCCGAAGAAGATGGCCGCTTATCGTCACGAGC